TTTTTTCTCTTCACATAGGAACGCATGAACCCCACACATTTTTTTATGTATACTTTGGTGAACATTAGATAAAATTATCTAAAATAACTTTAAAAACTTTAAACATTAAAAAAAATAAAAGTAATAAATCAAAGTACATGCATGTTTACTTCATCAGGTACATTACCTTCCAAAATACTTTAAAATACCAAAGCAAACTAGAATCTAGGCTATGTTATTAAAAAACTTTTTTTAAATCATTAAAAGAGATAACTCGTTTTATAATTCACCGTCTGAGTATATAAGCAATCAATTATGAACCTAATAAATAAGAAATAGTAAAAGCATGTATCAAAAGTAAAAGGAAGGTACCAAATAAAAGTAAAAGCACGTCTCATGTAGCATCCTCCATTTTCGGTGGGTAGTTGGAAGGTGGGATGAGATCATGGAAACAGTGCATCACAAACGTTTGTATATTTATCTTTTTTTTAGTACTAATATTTATCTTAATTTTTTTTATTCAAGTAACAAACTTTTAATATATTTGAATTAAAAAGGATATAATTTATCCTAAAAAATTGTACTATGGTAAGTTGAAAAAAAAAAAAACTAATCAACTAAAATTGTTTTACCCTCCCACATTTTATCTTTCCTAAATTTTTCCCTCCTTCAAAATCTTTCCCTCCCTCAAGTTACATAATTTTTCTTTGCCGCCAACTCTACTGCACACTATGTCATTCTCACTTTTGGCCCTCATTTAGTATTTTCTCTTTCGGGCCTCATTCTGAATCATTTTTTGAAGCTCATTCTTTCGGAACCAAAGGTAATTGTCTATTGTAACTGATTCTTTTTTTCATAATTAATTTCTTATCGATTTGTTCGTATGAGATTTTCTAATTTTTTTTGTACTGGAACACGGGCAGGAAGGAAACCTACGCATGGTTTTTTGTCAATCTACAGTAATTCAACTGCCCTAGCTACAACGCCTTTTATTATTGGTAATTATGCAAAATGATTCACTGTGTGTGTTTTTTCTTTCATCTGCTTTTTGCATATATATTTTCTGACGAAGTATCATGTACATAAATTGTTGTGTATGAAATATCTCCAATCAATATTTCTCGTTGCATTTAATGCAATATTTAAAAACGTATGATGGGTTGTTAGATTCAATACAAAGCCAAAAGATTCATAGCAACTTGTTTAAGTTGGGTTTTGATGCGGATGAATGTGCTTATTGAAATGGTTTAAAAAATATACCATCATCCTTCTCAAGGTTATTTTGTCTCAACACATGCCAATGAGATTTCATGGTTTAAGAAAGGTTTATTATCTTCTATTAAGTTTTTCATTATTTATTTTATTAGCTTAAATGCACATTACAAGAGTAATTCAATACCCAATACGAGAAGATAAAAATTAAGTCAAAATTAAAAATTATAAAATTAAGTATTGAAATATTAAAATTGTGGTCATGAACAAGTGAAAAATTATTTTTTAATTAGTTTTGGAAACATAAGAAAAATTAAAAAGTTGAGAACATGTCAAAAGTAGGAAGACCATGATTATGACATCGTGTAGACACAATATAATGAGTATTTCGTATGAGTAACAAGTGGTCAAACAAAATATGCATGTGTACACATAAATTGTGATTTGCTCTTTTTATGACTTAAAAGAAAATACCATTTTCACATGCTCTTATTGTCTTTTCCCTAATTTCCATTTTCTTTGTGCTTACTTTTTCATGAAAAATAGTAATACATAATTACTTTTTCAGATTTTCCCGGTGGAACACAAGCGGAAAGGATATTGATATTGGGAAGGTAATTGTACACTGCTGCAATTTTGTATGAGGACCACTAGAAATTAGAGTCGGGTTTTGATTTTAATATAACTTAGAATAACTTCAAAATAATAAAATGTACTTTATTCTCACTTTGACCATGTTATATTCAATGACAAAAATAAAACACTTGAAATAAGGAAATATTGGATTTCCACTAGGAGTGGCAATTTTTATTTTTTAGAAATAAAAGGTATTCACATTGACTTTAGATTTTATTAGTAAATAATCCCAAGAACATGAACTTGATGTGATATGATACAATTAATTTATATATAAATTGACATGACTTCTTGATAGTTAATCGTCATTCATGTTTACCTAATATCCCTTCATTTTCATTTCAGGCAGCAACATTTATTTTACTAACTCTGTTGGAAATTGCATATCTTCCACCATTACAAATTGCTAGAGCGGCTAGGGAAGTTGAGGTGTGTGAGACAATCTGAATTATTCCCCCCAATATGCACCACTAAAAATATGAACACACAGCATCAAATGACTATTATGAAAGAGCAAACAAATTGAGAGATGACAATTATGAAAGAGCAGCTGGCGATGTTGATAGCTTGTTTAGGAGGGGATGTGCGCACTTCCACTACTATGGCTCCGGCACTAGATGCACAAAGTGATGATTATGATGATAATATTGATACTCAGTTGTATGACGATAATTGATAGGATACATATTTTCTTTTCTTATTTTCATTTGTGAATTTATTTGTTGTCTTATACACTTGTTATTTTTCATGAATTCACATTAAAACTTATTGTATAACAATGGTTGGATTTGATTTAGTACTTCATTTTAATTTAGTATTAGCTACTTCATATTTTGTGTTAGTTTGTTGCAAGAATATTATATTATAATTAATATTAGGTTTCAATAAAAATTAAATTTTCAATGTAATTTAGTTTGAAAAGATTCAAATATTAGGGACGAAAATTAGAGACAAATATCTGTCACCAATTGAGATAGAAAATATTGTCACTAATAGAGATTGAAACAATATGTTACTAACAGAGACAAAAAAATTCGATCACTAACAGAGACAAAAACAATCTGTCACTAATAGAGAGAAAAATATCCATCACTAATAGAAAGGAAAAATATTCGTCACTAACAGAGATGGAAATTCTCTATCGCTAACAAAGACGAAAGTTTTTTTGCCACTAATAGATACGAAAAAAAATCCATCACTAATAGAGACGAACAATTTCTGTCCCTAATAGAAACAGATTACACAATTTCACGTGTATAAATTAGTGACAGAAAATAATATCTCAGGGACAAATTTATCCATCACTATCAGGGAGGGAAATACTTTTGTCTCTGATAGTGACAGAATTTTTTCCGTCTCAGATAGAGACTGATTTGTTTCGTCCTAAAATTTGTCTCTATTAGAGAAAGATTCATAATTCTGTCTCAACCTGTTAGTGACGAGCCATAATGTAACGGATTTTTGTCCGTCCCTAATTCTGTCACTAGTTTACTTAGTGACGGAAATATTTTACTTAGTGACAGAATTATTCCGTCACTAATTGATGTTTTTTTAGTAGTGAATCTTTTATCTATTTGGCATGATCATTTGCAATTAAATTAAACCACTTGTGAATTGACAATAGTGTGTGCAAGAGGAATGACTGGATTATGCCCACAGACTACTTCAAAAGGACTTTAGTTCACTTTTGTAATCTATTGTAGACAAATTTTGCTCAGGTAACTCGAAGTCCCATTGTCGCAGGTTATCTCCAATCAAACTTACAACAAAAGCTAAATAATTATCTCCATATAAACCAAAGTTGTTATGTCCATTATACTCAAGTTCAATATTTGCTTTCGAATTGGAGGCTTCTTGAATGAGGGATTATCACTTATGGCATCTGAAATTAGATAATAAAAATAATCTTGCATTAGATCATTGTCAAATTTTCCATGATTTTTCTAGTTAATCATTTTTAACAATTTAAGAACCTATCCAGTTCTCCTAAGAGTGATGAATATTAAAGAAAAAGTAAACTTGCTTCTCCAACTTTGAAAAATACTGGGATTTATGCAGCCTTTCATCTTGAAACTCTAACAGTGCACTCTTCGTATATTTAATATTTTTTTCTTCCAAATATGTGGGTAGAACTTCAACTTGGTGAGACACTTTCGTGAACACTTTCATCATTAATTTTCAATGATGGTATAACGAGAATGATCCAATCCAACATCTATTATCATAGATGCTACAAACTTTTCCACCAGTAGTGCACTTAGTATGAAAAATATCATGCATAAGCAACAATTCATCTTCTACTACAACAACATTTTAAACTCTCCTTACAATTAGGGACTCTCCAGAATTAATATAAAGGACCTTTTCCTCCTTTAGATTCTCATCGATGTCATGCTTTCCATCAAATTCATCATAGATCACTACTAGTAAATTCACAATCAGCGAGGGAAAAATTCTCTTGCAAAACAGCAAAATTCCCTTGCAAAAACTGTCTGCGACGGAATTTGCAAGGGAACATAGTCCCTCGCTAAAACCCTCGTCGCAAATAGATTTGCAAGGAAAATTTGTCATATGACAATTCTCTCGCAAATTGCTACGGAAAAGTTCCCTTGCAAAAAAGTAAATTTCCCTCGCGAACAACATACTTATCTACAGTGTTTTTCCGTCGCAGATTGCGATAGAAATTGCGAGTATAATTTCCCTCGCAAAGTTCCGTAGCAAAATTTGCAAGGGCTGTATTAAATTTCCGTTGCAAAATTTGCAAGGGAACATTTTGATTTTCCCTCGCAAAAGGCAACGAATTTTGCAAGGAAACATTTTGATTTTCCCTCGCAAAAGGCTACGAATTTTGCAAGGGAATTTTGAACATTTCCGCCACAAATTCTGGAATTAAAATAAAAAAAATAAAAAAAATGTATTAAACTTTTGTTAATTTTCCTGTAAACAATAAGAATTCCAAATGAACATAAATACATAAATTGAGCAACAGAAATCCAAAAAAATACTGGATAAACAATTAAATTAAAATTAAATAGTATATCAACAAAAGTGAACAACAAAAATCATCAAATCTACAACTAAAATGTCTCTAAAGTTCTAAACAAAATAAAACATACAAAAAATATCTGATATATCTCTGAAGTCCTAAAAGAAGTAAAACATACAACCAACAACTAGTATGCCTCTAAAGTCCTAGCAAAGTCATCATCATCATCAGGGTCATCATCCGGCGCCGGTCCCTTCGACTTGTTGCAGTTGGCTTCCTTGTCCTGCATTAAAAGTCGGACTTGTTCCTGCATTTGTTTCATAATATCAGCTTGCTGCTTCATAAGTTCGCTTGCTGAGTTAGCTGTTCTGTCGCAGCATGCAATTGCTCCTGAATCTGGGAGTGGGACACTCTCATCCTTTTAAGCTCATCTGCAAATACATTATTATAAAATAGTAAGTTAAAAATTAATTAATTGGATTATTTTTTAAGAGTTTAATGATAAACTTTTAAAACAATTTAGGTTTCGTTTTAAAATTCTACATTTATTTTGGCTATCAAAAAAAAATCTATATTCATTTTACAATAACAACTAATTTAAAATATTTCAATCCAATTAATCTAAGTCTTTCTATACTAACAAATTAAATAAATTGTTTGAAATTGACCTTCAAGTTAGCTAAGCCTGCATACTTGCACCATGTATTTACTACTCTTTTCTTTTTTGATGTTGATATATTGAAGGATACATCAATATATTGTCCAGATTTTGGCTCATTTTTTTTCTATGAATAAACTATTCTATATATATATATAAATATAAAATTTCATATTTGCACCATTTATTGAAAACATGTTTAGAGGGAAGATCATTTTTTTTAGCTACTAAAATTTTAGCATGTAAAAAACGAGATTCGGCTCATCCTCCAATGCACTTCCACATAAGATAATTTGGATAACAAAAATGCTAAATAACACAGTACATGGGTTTAACATTTTTTTTATTACGTTTAATTTTATCTCCTATAACATTAGAAATATTAAATTCTCATTATAAATATATAAATATATAAAATAAATTTAAATATAATAACATAATATAAATTATTTCATATATATAAATGTGTGTGAAGCATGCTACTTGCTATTATTATTGGGATTTGACTTTTTTGTTATGTTTTTGTTTACATTATATTTATAGTTACTCCTAACACCCACGAAAACCTCCTCTATGAACTATAAAGTACTCTCTGTTCTTAACCTTTTTCTTTTGTTTAAACAGACGTATAAATGAGTTTGAGCTTACTTGGGGTTAAATGAGTTTGACCATGAATGCCCATCCGCCTGTCTATCATGCAAGACCCATCAGTGACTAGCAGAGAAGGAAACATATCGAAACCATCAGTTAAACACAAATTAAGGATCATTTTTAAGCCTGTTTGAACATCCACCCTTTCTTGCAAACTGTAGTCACCAGTGAGCTTCCCATAAGCCCGCAAAAGGATGATCCACCATAATCCTATCAAAGAAACAAAATTGTAACAATAGAGAAAAGTCATTCGTAATGTTACTCAACTAATATTTTTGAAAATGCATATGTTTCACAATGCACAAGCAATTTTCAATAACATTATTTTTTTATAGACATATTATACGAAACTGCGAACTACTAACCTGAATCTACAGGTGCAACACGACCAATAGCTGATTCCCCAAAATCAAGATCTAGAACTTCTTCTTGATTATCTTCATCAAGAACTACAGTTCTAACTTTGAAACTAGCAGGCATTAAGCCCTGCCCGGGATTGTAGCAGTCCACTGTTTTCTCCCAGCTCTTTTACAAGTAAATAGGGAAAAGAAAAAAGTAGAATGTTAGCAATCAATATATAACAAAATTTTAAAACACTTGTGACTTTTGTAATCATAAATACACTTTCTTTTGGGATAAATCAAAGTACAGACAGAATTGTGAATTAGCATGTAATCACCATAATAAATATACTTTCTTTTAGCATCTAATCCTCGGATTTACCATTAGTCATCAGTATTTACTGCAATGGTTACGTACCTCTAACTCTTCATATAAAAAGTTGGGATGAATATATGAAAGAGAAGAAAATCAATAGAAAATGGATTCAATTGATAGCCAGCCAGCCAGCCATTTATAGCTTAGACTTACAAAGCACATGATTGAATCATTAGGTGACTCTAAAAAGGATAAACTACCTGCAATTGCAAGGTGTGAAGAAGAAAGTTCTTAACAATCTCGTTTTCTCCTCTAAGCAAGAAGGCAAGAGCTGAAGGGACAAAATCCCGAATAAAGACTTGATCATAATTCAAGGGTGACTTATCACCTGGATTATTTGCAGCCACTGTCCCCACGGGGCTACCACAATAAGTCACAACAGCTCCTTGTAACAACTTCCATGCTTGTTTTTCAACATCTGTGTCTTCGCCTCTGGTCTTGACCAGTGTCACATTCACACCACCATCTTTATTCTCTGTGCTAGCATCTTCAACTCCAACTCCTAACCCGAACTCTTCTTCTCCTACAACTTTCTCATCATCCTTATGAATACTTTCCACCACCAATGGCTTAACAATTTATATGGGGGGGAAATATTACCAAAATAGAACACAATAATTAACAAACATATATATGGTCAGATCTGGTTCCGTTAATCAGGTATTCATTTGAACACTATCCTAACCAAAGAACAATAACCAACTCGAAAGAGATGACAGGGAAGAAGGGTTACCTGTTCGCTTTTTCTTATTATCCTTGTCTTTGTCCTTGTTCGCTTTCGTGATTTTTCCACCCACAAGTCCTAATTTTTTTTTTATAGGATGAAAGGTTGCCAAACTAGGATTGGAAGCATCTCCTTTTCTATGTATACTTTTCTTTAAAATAATAAAAAATCAAAAATCAAAATGTGAAGATACAGAGTAGTTAAGGTCCCGTCCCAGAATCCTAAGAGAAAGAGATATGAAGATACATTCAACCAAACAAAAATTATAAGATATACAGAAGAAGGGGAATGATAGTGAAAATGGTACCTTGACGGAAATGGTGGCTCACCGGCGGTGGGAACGGTGGTTGTCCAGTATGAAAGAGACAAAGTTCAATGCTTTCTTCACTAGCGGTGGGTAACGGTGGTTCACTCGTGCTTCAATGCTTTCTTCACCCAAATGACCGTGAGACGAAGTCAGAGAGAGATAAAGTGGGAAAACCCTAAACCAAAATTTTGGGAGGGATAATTAAAATTTTGGAAAAGTTGGTATAATTTAATAAAATTGGGCGGTGACATTAGTTCCAACTCTTCCTTTAGTCAAATTGGTAAATTGTGTAGCAACATAGTGGGTGCACCAGCCTCCATATATTTTTACAATATTGTATAAATATTTTTAATGTATAATCTTTATATTGTATAAATATTTTTAATGTATAATCTTAATTATATATATCTTTAATGTATAATAATAATTGAAATTTCATTTAATTAAAATATTAAGTATGATTTATGTTATTTACAATATTTATTAACATATCTTTTACTTATAATATATATTAAAATTTATAATATTTTTAATTTAAAACTTTCATTAGTTATAATATTATTTAACAAAATTAAATTCTATAATATTATTCATCAAAATTTTTATTTTTAGTACCGATCATCTTAATGAGTGTAACACTGCTTAAAGTATTTCATCACAATGCATGTATTTTTATTCATTGTACAAGATAATTTGATCACGAATACTCATATGAAAATATGTGGGCCCCATGCAGGGCCATATGAAGAGAAAATAGAAATTAAGAATAAATTCATGCGTTTTCTATTTATGTTTCCTCCTTACCATATAAAGTTATATTGAGAAACAAAAAACCAAGACCACTGCCCTTTCTGACTGTAGCTGCACGAATCCCTCTTTGCGAGATTCAATCGACAAACTGACCGTTAGATATAAAAGTATAATGGGTGTAACCATTCTTAAAAATATTTTGGCACGATCCAACGGTGATTTTAAGAGAAAACTTTCTCTCAATATTGCTGCCTACAGCAAAATACTACTACACACACCACTTCAGTTTGGAATTTATTTCTCTCTTTTCTCTTGTCGTGATTGATTTCGCTTCTACTCTTGTAATCAAAATGCTACTCACACACATTCAAAGATATATATATATATATATATATATATATATATATATATATATATATATATTTGAGTGTCACTTTCCACTCGTTTGTATAATGATGACGATAAGGGTGGATGGAGTGTGTCTATTTCAAATATTCCACTCTTATTCTCACCCACACTCGTACAATTGCACGTTCTAAATGATGTTCGTTTGCATAACTCCAGAATATGTAAACAATTGAAGGATATGGAGAGACGACACAATCCCAACAGTAACATTAAACAAATAACTCAACAACAAGTTATACGAAAAACTAAAGAGGTATATATATATAAACAACTTCTTGTCCAATATGTATTCCAACTACCAGAAGTAACAACTCCAAAATCACAACGGTCAAGTTAGTTAAATACAAGATAGGAAGGACACTGACTAATTTTGAAAACATTCCAACGGTTGAGCAAAGACATATTCCCTTTTGTACCTTATTGCCAAAATTAGAGTAGGAATACTGACATTCTCTGTTTGCAATTGCACGAATTCCTATTGAGAGCTCCAATCGACAAACTGACCGTTAGATATGAAGTATAATGAGTGTAACCCTTGCTTAAAGTATTTCAGCACGATCTAACGGTGAACTTAAGAAAAAAAGAACTTTCTCTCAAGATCGTTGCCTACAGTAGAATCGTACACACAAACCACCTTGGTTTGGAATTTCTGGTGATACTATCACTACATGCACTCAATGTCTGCCACAAAGGATGCGATGACGCATTTAATGACTTTTTCTCATACGCATATTGCATATTTTCTATATAGTTTTCTCTTACCTAGCTATAATGACAATACCTAATTTATGCCCTTTTAAATTTGATTTATATGTTATTTTTGAATTTTGTGAGGGAATATACATCCCTCGCAATTTGCGATGGAATATTAATCCCTCACAATTTGTGAGGGAAACAGCGAGGGAAACTATGAAATTTCAGTTGCAATTTTCAGATCCTAGATTTTGCGAGGGAACTTCCGTCGCCAATTTTTACCCTCGCTATTTCCGTCACAGACTTATGATTCTTGCGAGGGATTCCATTTCCATTGCAAATTGCGACGGAATTGCGACCGAACTGCAAGGGATTCTGAGACGGCAATGTAGTAACGGAAATCTTGCTTATTTTCCCTCGCAAATGTTTTTCCCTTGCAAATTCCATCACAGTTTGCAAGCAATTTTTTCCCTTGCAAATTTCCCTCGCTATTCGCGACTTTTCCAGTAGTGGATAAGGGCCTTGTCATATACTGCTGGAGCTTCAATTAGCGTCACAATCGGCTGATTTGGAGAATCCACAATGAAATGATCAATCCTTTGATACTTTTTAGAATTCAAAGACTAAATCAAGAGTAACAATGATTAGTTAAGGTTTTGATTTCCCACAGTTTTCACATGCGTAACTCAATTTAAATTCGCAATTGATTCCCCTTTTAATATCGCCAATCAATTCAACACATATAATTAAAACTCAATTTCTTGCTATCCTAACTCCTTATTCCCTTTTAAGAAAATTAAAGTCTTAGCATATCTTAGAAGGTCGTAAGCATTACAAACATAAACCCAAGATCAATCCAAAAAGGAAAACTCATGGAAGCATTATGCGTAGAATAATTTAATCAATATTGAAAGGAAATATTGTATTAAAAAGATAAATTAAGTTTCATGAAGATCTAGTTGGGTTTCATCTAACCCTAACCTAAAGAAATTTAGAAAGTTATAAAAGAAAAAGGAAGAGAAAGATTAAAGAAAAACGCAATTATAAACATTGAGGGATAAAGTTGATCTCATTGTTTTCACACTTTGAGCTATATTCCCTCATGAACCGATGAGTTTCTCGAAAAAATAATTTAAAATCACAACTTTTGCTCTTTTATAGTTTGTGGGAGCTCAAATACAAGACAACACTTGCTTAGGTGCCCAGAGTCCAAAATATATCAATATGCTTCAACCACTCACGTGCTTAGGTGGATGATGATGGCCACCTGGCATGCAACAATTAGTGTTTTCTACCACTGACATGCCTAAGTAGGAAATAAGCTAATCCGTGTTAATCTTGTATTCCAGGCGTAACTTGAACTATACTCGTTCAATTAATGTGATTTTGGTCTCATTTAAAAGATATAAGAAAAATCTACAACTTCTATAAGCCTTCAAGATTGAAATCCATCATCTTTGATACAATAACTTGTCCGGAAAAAAGAATTAGGGAAATTTTCTAATGTTTGGAAACATGTTTTCCATGAGAATGCTTATTTTGTCCCAAAATTCGATCTAATCACCTAAAAATATACAAAAAAAAACTAAGATTATCTTAATTCAATGCACATGAATTTTCTCTTTAATTTAGGAGTTTTAAGGCTCTTCTTTTACATTCAAAACATGGTGAAATCAACGTTTATCAGTCATCATGATGCATCGCTAAATTCTCTCTAGTCTTCAGTTTGAATAGACAACTGCAACCGCGCAAATTGTCTTTCCAGTTCCTCAACTCTTTGTTGTAGCTCTTCATTTTCTAAGTCGCATAGGTTTCTCTAACTTGACTATTCATTTTCGATCTTTTGGTGTTTCCATATCCCTTGCAACTGTAGCCCAACCGTCCACAACCACCACAATTTGCTTAATTATTAGTGAAGCTAATCGAGCTTTGAAACTAAATAATGCCAAAACAAATGGAAAATGGGCTAAACAGATGAAATGATATCGATAGAGATAATCCTTGTTCTAAACAGAGATATTCAATATTCGAAAATCAACAACCTTACAATAGAGGTCTTAAACAACCTTTTTTAAATTAATTTTAAACTAATTAAAATAAATACACCTATAAAAATAAAAGAAAAATTTAAAAATATTCAATTACAATTTAATTAGCATTGAACACTCATAAAAGAAAAAGAAAGCTTCCCTAAAAATATAGATAGCTATTTACAAATCAATTAGCATTAAATAAATCTAAAATAAGGAAACAATTAAAATAAAATTACAAAATTATAATATTGCCACTAAAAATAAAATTAAGCCTAAAAACCCAAAACGATGCATGCAAACATATATGCGCAATTATAAGCCAATTTTAAGTGCATTAAAAGTTTTTTTTATGTTATGTCCGTAATTACTCATTTGGAGCGAGTCAAGTCTTTCAAGTTTCAACTCAAGTATCTCGGGTAAAAAGAACTTATAGCCTGTTTGTTTCAGCTTTTTAAAAAAGTAACTTTTATCTCTTTTTATCTTAAAAGTTTTTTTTTACAAAAGTTAAAGCTATTTATATTTTTATAAAAATATTTAGTTTATGAAAAAAATATTTAGCTTTTGACTTCTGTTTTTTGTAGAAGTTAAAATTTTTAGCTTTTGAAAAAAGTAGATTTTTAGCTTTTTTGTGACTTCTGCTTTTTTTTAAAATAAACATCCAAACGAACTAAAAATGAAAAGTGCTTTTTTCAAGAAAAAAAAGTAACTTTTGAAGAAAAAAAAATGCTCATCCAAACATGCCCTTATTCAAGTATGGAATTGATCTAGGGTCGAGTAATATTGCAAACTTGTAATTATCCCGTTCTAACCCCAAAAATCTTCTTCATAATTCTATCTGTGCATAATTATAGCCCTATATTTGTGGAACTAATCGCCATGCATGCAAAATTATGTAGCTTAACATGGGCAACCATTGGTTATTCAACTTATTTTGATTCTACAAGGATCCTTATTATATATAAAGCATTGATTTGTAGATACATCGTTATAACTTATATGATGAACTATATTGCTAGTTTTTGCGCCTCGGTTGGATTGATCCATAATTGAGTCATCATCAAAAGGAATCAAAGTTTATTTTTCATGAAATTGTGTGCATCCCCGGGAAACGAAAAGAGGTAATTGCACACATCATTTCAGTTACCTAATTACAACATAGTTAGTTGTGTCCATATATATGTGTATATATATATATAGGACAACAACATACAAATATAAATAGCTTAGCAACAGCGTACGCTTTTCTCCAGAAAGCTCTAAACATCGAAATAATCAAATACATTAATTAAAAAAATATAGCTACATGCCTACATTAATTGGAAACCAGAAGCATCTATATATGAATTATTATAAAAGGCATATATATATATATATATATATATCCGGTCCAAATTAAGTGGCTCGCACGAGGGGTGAGTGAGGTATTGGTGAATGGGGAGACATCAAGTGAGGTGACATAACAGTTTCATCAAATCTTCTTGAGGAGAAGCTTAGTCGAAGACCACGTTGCCAACGTTTGACTTCAACTTTTTTCCCTGTTTCTTTGCATACAAATTCTCGAATTCTCTTGAGTGCAACTTCCACAGTTTCATCATCCATGTTAGCAAAACAAACCCTATACCAACCAGGCTCTGAGCAATTAAAAGATGAACCTGGCGACACATTGAGCTTCACCTCATTGATAATCACACGCCAAAGCATCATTTCACCTTCAAATGTTTGTTCCTTTAGCAAATTTCTCAAATTCATCCAACAGAAAAGCCCTGCATTGCTTGGCAAGCAAGTAATGTTAACCTTCTCAAGCCCTTTTGTGAATAAGCTATGCCTTTCTCTTAACCTTCTTGAACTCTCTGCAAGAAAATTTCCGACAAACTTGTCATCCGAAAGCATTGAAGCTAGAAAATGTTGTGTCTGTGAGGAGACTAATCCGAAGCTTGACATTTTGCGACCTTGGTTCACCACTTCATCATTGTATGAATAAACTATGCCAACTCTAAAACCTGGAAGCCCCATATCCTTAGACAAACTATAAATAATGTGAACGAGGTCACGTTTGCAGCACTTCATGTCTTCCATGACTTCAGAGACGCTTATGAAGCTTGGGGTGCTGAACACTGTGGCTGCATAGATTTCATCACAGACTAAATGGATGTTCTTTTCATTGATGAAGCTCACTATGCTGTGTAGTGTTTCTCTGTCTAATGTGCTTCCCAAAGGGTTTGATGGGTTTGTTATGATCAACCCCTTCACATTGATGTTATCCTCTTTTGCTTTCTCGTATGCTGCTTCAAGTGCTTCTCTTGTTATCTTGAAATTGTTGGAACTATCACACTCAACAGGTATTAGTTGCAGCCCAGTTCTCCAGCACAAGTCACGGACGAATCTGCAGTAAAATTATATATATTAATAAAACACATTATGAAAGATTATATATATCGGAAGGATTATATTTACAAATTTTTTGTTTACAAACTACACTATGTTCTCCCGGGAGAATACTAAGTTATATTATGTTCACCAGAGAGTACATAGTGTAATTTGCAAAAACTTATAAAAAAAATTTGTAAACGGATCATTCCCATATATATATATATTCTATCGTAAATCTTAATAAGTTTTATTTCTTATCTCAGATCGATTTCTCGGTAATAATTTATTTAAGATTAGTAATTAATTAACATATATAATTCAATAAATTATAATAGTTGAATATAAAAAATAAGATTTTTAAATTTTACACCAAATTCGATATATAAATTTTGTATCTGCTTAATTAAGTCATAATATGATCTATTAAAATCTCTTCTTTGACCCACTACAGTCACTCTTCAAATTAACAACATTATTTGGTCAGAGTCAGACAGAGATTTAAAGCTGACTAGAGATTTTCAACGTACAGCTAAAAGTTAAAAAAAAAAAAAAAAAACATTAAATATATTCATTTTTCAGAAAAGAATGATTGATTGTGATTCTAAAAAGTTGTGACAATAGATGCAATTATTCTAAAGACAAAGCATAAAAATTCTGTGCTTTAAGAGCACGTTAGCCAATAGCAAATGCCATGAAATTTCCTTATTTAATAAAAGTTGGAATTGCTTAGTTAAGATCTCTGACCGTGCAAAATTTCCCAATAAAGAGTTGTGTGGGTATTTGGCTGCGATATGCTTTAGTTTGAATACAAGGTAACCGTAATCTGAGTTGGTCATGATTTCAAAGTCATGGCAAGTGTCAACTTAACTATTTAGGGCAGTGCTTAATGTTCTTATAATTTTCTTTTTCTGATAATCTTTTGGATTTATTCATTGACCAACAACGCTAGTATTCATTGTTGTTAATAACTTTTCTTAAAACACATTTATTTTAATAAAAAAAATACAGTGAATGAGAATACTGATTTTAATTGTGATAAAATTATTTTTGTTGAGGGTACTTTTGTCTTTCGAAATTTAGAAAACGGACATTAATTGATAATGATATTATAAGTCATACATGTGCAAGAACTTAGTTATTTATATGTGATTCTTAAAGCTCATTTATTAATTTTTAACAAGTGTAAAGCGTTACGTACTGAAATATAATTTTTTATTCTTGTTTTTACATCAAAGCTTAACCAAACTTATTGAATAAAATAAAGTATGCATTTTTCGGGTATGAATTCTCTTGGGTGTCGTGCGAAATTGCAAGGATGAAACTTCCCTAGCTAGTTGGTGGAGGAAGAATTGACTGTCAAGTTAAAAGGAATGCAGGGTGTTTTAACTTTTAATGCATCAATTTTTATTTATTTATTTATTTATATTTTGCGTAGACATGTATTATTTTACCGAAGATCTACAAATTTTTATATAGCATTAGGTGTGCTAAAGGGAAGGTATAACTCAATTCAATCAGTAAAAGTCTAAAACTATAATTTTTTTAAGAATATATATATATATATATATATATATATATATATATATATATATATATATATATGAGGCAGGATCTTTGACACCGGTTTCAAAAAAAAAGTTTGACACCTCATCTTAGAGCCGTTAGATTAAAAAAAATCAACGATTCTGATTTGTAAGAATGTGACACCATTGATTTTTTTTAATCTAACGGCTCTAAGATAAGGTGTCAAACTTTTTTTTTGACACCGGTGTCAAAGGATCCTGCCTCTATATATATATAGAGGCAGGATCCTTTGACACTGGTGTCAAATTTGAAGTTTGACACCATATCTGAGAGCCGTTAGATCAAAAAAATCAATGGTGTCACATGCTTATAAATCAGAATCGTTGATCTTTTTTTATCTAACGGCTCTCAGATGAGGTGTCAAATTTCAAATTTGACACCTCATCTTATAGCCGTTAAATCAGAAAAGATCAATGGAGTCACATGCTTACAAATCAGAGTCGTTGATCTTTTTTGATCTAACGGCTATAAGATGAGGTGTCAAATTTAAAATTTGATACCGGTGTCAAAAGATTCTACCTATATATATATATAGACACACACCAATCTAGTGAAGTTACTGGGTTCTCCTTTAATCAAAACAAAATAGTTATTACACTTTCTGGTAGCTTTTATTTTTGTCCACTTTTAACATTTTGATGGGTCTGAAAGGGCATACATTGAATGAAAACATATATTATGAAAGTGAGGGTACATACGCTGGATAGTAAGGGCTTGGAACCAAAAAAGCATCACCAGGATCAGCCAAACAGAACATGATTAACTCATTTGCTCCTGTGGCTCCTCCACTCATCAATATACGGTCAGGATCAAATCTGACCCTACCACCTCTAACTTTTGACATAAAATTTGCCACAGCCTGAATTAAAATAATAATAAAGCTAGTCATTAATTTGTTATGATAAATTTTTCCTACAACAAAAAACATGCTCAATCATTATGTTGGTGAACTAATTAATAATAAGTTCTTCCATTGCATACATTTCTGAACTCTGGCAATCCATGATAGTCTTGAAAGTTAGCAATATATCTGAACCGATTCACCCCTTCTGAAGTGCAAATGGATGCAGAGGGATTATTCCTTATCCACTTTTCAATAAGATCAAAGCAGAGCTGCAAAGTTAAGAATATTTATGAACACAAACATATTAGTCAAATTATCAAACATGCAGCTCCATGTCATTGTAACACAAATATTGTGCAAAGAGTAAAAACTATAAAACAGAACAATTACCTGATTTTCTGCAAGCCCCATCTGGATAACACCATGAGAATTATTTATAGGGTGAAATGGGTTTGCTTCATAAGCCTTCCACCCATCAAAATAAGGAGAATTCTCTCCATGCTTATCATTGGTTGCAATCTTAGACAGAAGGTGGTGATTCTTATTCCCCAAACCCATGTTTAGTTTTTTTTTTTTTTCTTCCTTTTTGGTGAAGGTAAGGCCACTCTCTAGCTTTAGTAGCAATGGATGTGGATTATGCTTTGCAAAGCAGTGTAGGGAAAATGGGAGAAGATGTGAGGGAATTTATAAGAAGAGGTAAGGTAGTGTGCGTGTGGGATTATTATGCTCACATGGTGAAGAGGAAAAGTCCTGTTCAAACATCAAAAACCACTCAAAGACTGATCCTCAAAGGTTTTATGTTGGTCAAATGCCAAAGTGTTTGCGTGTTAACTCACCACGTGTAGAAGAAGTGTTTAACGCATAAGGAGAAAAATGGACTTTGGTTTATAACACTAGCTTTGGCTGTTCTTATGTTAGGTATAATTGTTCTTTCAGCTAAACCAGTTTAACATGAAAAACAATATATCATGGGGGAATTTTTGTGCATTGAGAAGTTTCCCTGAAGATACACATGCTTTGTTCAAAGACGAAGGAGAAAATTTCTACCAAAACTGAAATTGGAAAAAGAAGAAAAGTCCAAGTAATAAAAGATCTACATTCAGCATGTGAGAAATTAATCTTATAACAATCTAATTAAGCATATGTCTTATTCAACACACATTGTGGTACCTTATTTACCAACGTGAAAATTATAATATTATTTATCCCCATGTGAAGAAATTTTTCATAAACATTTAAATCAACGATTAGCATGCTGAAATATAATTTTTAAATGTAAATACACTTTTAACATAGTCCATGTAACTTTACACGTATCAGCAATTAATTTGAGCATTTAAGCATATATGCCGAAAGAGAAAATCTTAGCTTTTTACCCTATGAGTTTTAGACTTGCTCATCAACTTTTTTCTCATATGTAATTAATTCTTGTATATAGAATAATCCAATCTTCGCATGCCAAAAATACAAGTGTCTTCCTCTTACATAAAAAGTTTTTTTTTTCAATAAAAATAGGTCTGTAAGATGTGCTATTGAAAGACATCTTACAACTATTTTTAACTATATACTAAGAATAGTACATAATTATAATATTAAATTTATTTTTTTCTCTTTTAATTTCTCTACATCATCAATTTTAATTATGTACTATCCTTAATATATAGTTAAAAAACTGCTGCAGGACAAACAAACAAAAAACTCATTCCTACGTCATAATACTTATATTTCCCAACAAAAATTATACAAAATGTTTTTTTCATACGTAAAGACGGATACTGACTCAAAAAGGGTTTGTTGGGATTCAAATTTTTTGTCCTTTCAATAAAAATGAAGACAGTTGTCCCTTTCCCTTGTTTTTTCATTTTTATTTTTTGTCCTAATTAGCAGTATTTTATTGATTGATAAGATTAGGAACAATGGAGATGAAACCGAAAATTTGAGTCGGTGTCATTACTATACACTCTTAAAAGAGTAAATTGTAGTAGCTTGACCAAGACACACCGCATTAACCATTGCTGGATAAAGGAATTGAAAGGGTACCGAAGGAGAGTCCTTATGGGACGGCAACAAGCATTCCCATGGTGTTAAGGGTTGGTCCCCACTCCCAACACTTCATTCCACATTTTTCCAATGTTACTTACTTTGGTAGCTTGCTTCTTGCCACTTGAAGTCTTTGTTGCCTCGTTTAGTAAGCATGAAGCATGATGAAATACTTCCAATTTTGCTGGGAAAACTTTATACTTTTTTTGAACGTGCATGTATCACACATTGAAGTGATTGATGTAACTCATGGTTTATATAGTTCAATTCATAAGCTAAAATGGAAAACCGTAATTGAATCAAATTTTGTAGGAATTACCAAGTGAGATCCGCGTGTCAGGATTCTTATATACGCGGTTGATTATTCATCCTTTAAAACATGAAAGCCGAGGGAAGTGGGAACACGTAATTTTAGTGCCAATTTTCCTTGCAATAGCACAATTTCAATTTTAGCTTCTTTTTATTCGATTTTTCAATCCAAATTGCTAACACATGTAGATCTATGTTGGCACCAACAATAAAAAAAAAAAAAGCAAACTATTTCTCCGTATTAATTAATGAACATCTCTTTTGTATATTATGGTGTGTTAAATATTAATGCTTCCATTAATTAGGTCCAATGCGCGGTGCAAAAATATCTACCATAATCCACATGATGTTTTCTTGCATTTTTTAAATGATTGCTTCACTCTAGCAAGTTTCTAGCTTGTACTTAATTCATATCCACTTGCTATTTAAGTCGTTTAGATATTTTCTTAACCTTTCCTAGAGCATGGCCTTCATACGTTATTTTCTAGAGTATCTGAAGGCCTTTCAATCTATACAAAAAGATATATAATTTGAACATTTTCCATTATATAAAGCACCATGTAAAGAAAGAAAAAGAGTAATATCTGAAGAATATTTCCTTTCTAGAACTAAATTAAAGGAGTTTCACTTTCTCCACTTGGTAGTGGAGACATATAATGCCATTGCCAACCTACAACGAAGTTTTATATCGTAGAGTAATAATATCACGATGGCGTATTTTGGACGAAAATCGAATTAGTGGCAATGAAGCATATTGTTATGATAAGCATAAAGTTTAAATCGCCATCACTCACGTACGTAGTTAAGTTGATATTCCAACTTTTAAGTAAAAGAGGAAAGAGTAAAAAGAATGGAAAAATGGAGAGTGTCGTTTCTATTTAGAAGCTATCCCCTTCGTCTTTTTCCCTTTTCTACTTTCACTCTCTTTCTTCTAAAGTTAATTTAGTACTAAAAATGAAAAGAAAATTAACGTAAAACTAATTTGTAGTGATGCTTGTTTGTGTTGAGATATATAGTCTTGGGCACTCCCACCCTTAGAGCTAGCTTTTGAGGTGGTGTATCCCAAGGTTCTTTACATGGTATCAGAGCCTCGCCGCCCCCCACTTTCTCTTGTGACATTTCTTAGCACAGGCAGGCTGGGCTTGTTGCATTGTCCACCCTTCAAGCCTAGTGGGCTCTCGTGTGAGGGGGCGTGTTGAGAAATTGGTTGTTTGGGCAACTAATGTGAGGTTTATAAGGCCTTGGGCACTCCCACCCTTTGAGTTAGCTTTTGGAGTGGTGTATCCCAATGTTCTTTACATGGTATCAGAGCATTCGAAATATCACCGCCTCCCACTTTCTCTTGTGGCGTTTCTTAGCACAGGTAGGCTAGGCCTGTTGGATTGTCCACTCTTCAAGTCCAATGGGCTTTCGTGTGAGGGAGCGTGTTGAGATATATAGTCTTGGGCACTCCCACCCTTTGAGCTAGCTTTTGGGGTGGTGACCTCAAGGTTCTTAACAGTTTGTAATACACAAATAAATAAGTTAAATAAAACAATGTTAAAAATATTCGACATATTAGAAATTACTTGTGTGTAGCTCAAGTGATTGGGACATACTAATCCATATTAAGGATATATAATAATTATTTTGGAGGAATGATCCGTTTATAAATTTTAAGTATGACCGGTTATACACTCTTGATTAGTGTATGACCGGTCAGACATAGCGTAATTTGTAAAAAAAAATTTGTAAATATAATATTTTCCATTATTTTGAAGGATATAAATAGCCTAAACACAAGGTAATATGTAAACAGTGACTGAAAATTCCTCGTAGCTGCACATAGACATTGTCTACTTAATTGATCTCATTTCAGATCCCCTAAGATAAGATATGTATATGAAGACTTTTGTGGCTGGGCGCGAATCCCACTCACAAGGTTTCTACCTAGCTCTAGGTCACTTGACCTCTATTTTTCGTTGATTCCTTTCATAATTGTGCTTCTCGATCATAAAAATTACACTAAATTCAGGAAGCGAGACATACCATATGTAGCAAATTAAAATAACAAAGAAATAAAGGAACAATTTACATCTAGCTACCACACTATTTAAGGAAAAATAAAATTATGTCAAAAACTTATTGTACAAATAGCCTCTTAGCACTTTTAGTAAAATAACTTTCTCTCCTTATACTTTAATCTTTTGTAATGAATGTAAAGATTTCGTATAGTGCACAAGGAAGACAATATAAAGATTTACAATAAAACTCAACTCTTTGTTTTTGGAAGAAAAAAAAAAGGTGTTCACACTATTTTAGTCAACCCCTTGAGATTTTTAAATTCCAAGAAGCACGTGTAAATGTAAGAAACCTCAGGTTTGACTTAATGAGCAAAGCATGGAACAAAATTACATAGAAACTACACTAGCTTGGTGCCTTATCTTAGAAGATCAATCAATGACTGTGCGGCTTGAAGAAAGCTGTACAAATTTTTTGTGTGTCATGGGCATAGTTGTAAAACTCAGTCCGACCCGGCCGGGTCGACTCGGAACCCGGCGAATCAGTCATCGGACCGGTTTGGGTAAGCATTGGACCGGTCACGCATCGATCCAGTCAAAACCCGAATAAAATTGGCCAAACTCGATGACCAGATGACTCAGTGACCCAGTCGGGTCATGTATTTAAACAAAACCAAAATATTTTCATCTTGTCAAAAAAAAGTAGAACTTATTTTAAAATTTTTTGTAATTTTATTTGCTAGTATACTCTTCTACAATGACCTCAAATTTTAGCTTCTAATACTGAAGCAATTTGCGGAATAATAAATTAAGAGAATGTGATATATGTCATTTTAATGTAGTTGAATTTGAAAAATATGAGTTCAATGTCATTGAGAAGTATGTTTATGGGGATTCTGAGTTGCAATATAAATTGACATAGTAATAGCATTTATTTTTATTTATTTATGCTTCTTATTTTTGAGTTCATTTAATGAACATTGTTTAATTCATTTTAGATATAGAGAATATAATTAAATTTATATGTTCATATTTTTATATATCTATATATATCCGGGTCAACCAGTCCGACCAGTGACCCACCGGTCCAACCAGTGACCTAGTAACCCAGTACCTCAACTGGATCGATGCCGTGATCGGATTTAATAACACTGGTCATGGGTCAATCAATCGTGCTCTAATATGTTCACATGTCGCATGGAATTAAAT